TTTGCTCCTGCAGGGGAAAAAATTCCTTCCTGATCCCCCGAGAGGCAATCTTGTATTCCCTGGATCAACTTTACCTATAAATGTTATATCCAGTTATATTCTGTGTATCCAAGAAAGAATCCAGGACTTTTTTAAAGCAATCCACTGAGCTGGCCAGAACCAACTCTTGAGGGAGTCTATTCCACATTTTCACAGCTCTCACTGTGAAGAAACCTTTCCGTGTTTGGAGATTAAATCTCTTTTCCTCCAGATGTAAAGAGTGCCCCCTTGTCCTCTGTGATGACCTCAGGGTGAATAACTCTACACCTAGTTGACTATATGAACCACTGATGTATTTATACATGTTGATCATATCCCCCCTTAATCTCCTCTTCTCAAGAGAGAATAAATTCCGTTCCTCTAATCTTTCCTCATAGCTGATCTCCTCCATGCCTCTTATCAATTTGGTTGCCCTTCTCTGTACTTTCTCCAGTTCCCCAATGTTCTTTTTGTGAATTGGTGCCCAAAACTGAACTGCATATTCCAGATGAGGTCTTACTAATGATTTGTACCGGGGTAATATGATATCTCTCTCTCTGGAGTCTATACCTCTTTTAATACAAGAGAGGATTTTGCTCGCTTTAGAACCCGCAGCTTGGCATTGCATGCCATTATTAAGCTTGTAATCTACCAGAACCCCCAGATCCTTCTCCACCATTGATTCCCCCAGTTGTACCCCCTAGTATGTATGATGCATGCATATTCTTAGCCCCCAAGTGCAGAACCTTACATTTATCAACATTAAACCTCATTTGCCACATAGTTGCCCAATTACACAGTGCATTGAGGTTGGCTTGTAAATTGGAGACATCCTGTAAGGACGTTATTCCACTGCACAGCTTGCTGTCATCTGCAAACACTGAAATGGGATTTATAATCCCAGACCCTATATTGTTTATAAATATATTAAAAAGTAAGGGTCCCAACACTGAACCTTGGGGTACACCACTGACAACTAGTCTGTTATAATTGTTCCTAATAGAAACATTGAAATATAAAATTAAATTATAATGATTTTGAAACCCTTTTTTTTTTATTTATTTATGCTAAATCAGAATGTGATTATTTTCCACCACTAGGTGCCACCAGTCTGCCAGGCGGAATGACGGCTAGTGTCACTGAACCCACTACCTGTGAGCCCAAGTTGCTGGGAGTGTGTTTTCACGTCAGCCTAAGCTCAGAATACCACTACACTGATTGAACAACGCATCTTTATGCAACTTCTGGAGCAGAAGAGGAAGGACTCAGGACACCACCAGATCTGGCAGGAGAAAAAAAATGTATGTGTGTATGTACTGCATGGATATATATATAAACATATTATTGTATATAGACAGGGTTGTCTGATATTTGATAGGTCATTGTGATTAGCGCCATGGTTCTGACTCATTCACTTGTCTGTGTAAAGGTCTGCTTGAGCTATGGAGCTCTGTTAATCTCTGCTACAATAAAAAATCTTGAAAAACAAAAGGAGCCACAAGCTCCACCTACTGGCTAAAAATAATAATAAATAATAATAATATGCAATGCATCATACTTAAAACAAAAAGTACAAACGTATGGGCAGGCCGGAGGTCATTTTATGGAAGGGAAAGTCATTTGCAGCAAGCGGGAGAGGTCCAGCAAGCCTAACAAAAGATACAATGCCTAAACCCATCCACACAGCCAGAACACCATTGGCCATTTATTACCTGGATGGATGTCTAGTATGTTTATATCTTACAGGCATGGGGCTGGCTGCATTTGTATTCATTACCTTAATGAAAGGGACAGCAGAGGAGATAATTGTCAAGCTGTATATAAATATTGCTCTGCTATCGCGTTTCTTATCACTGGCTGCTGTCATAGCCACTTAGGAACACAAGTCATCAACATAATCAGCCTTGTTCATCATCATAAAGTCGTATCGAATGGGAGGAAGATTTCATCAGAGAGATCGCCTGGACACACATTAAATAAGAACCTGGCTAAGTGCTCTTTACATCTACACAGAATAAAACCACATTGTAACTTAAAGCTGAACTCCGGGATTAACAATTGTGGTCTAAATACAAGAGCCATGTGTTCTTTTCCTTGAGCCTAGGTACACGCATATGCGGTGGGGCAAATGCAGCGATCCTTGCATGTTTATGCACTGCATTGCAATTGCATTGTGTTTGCGATCTGATGCAGTTTTCAATAGAAAGTTAAAGACACCACAAATGCATCACAATCGCAGTGCGGTTTGCCCCCACCGGATCGCATGGTACCAAACAATCATGCGATGTGGTTGTGGTGCGGCTCCAAATAAGGTGCCTGTGCATCTTTGGTGCAATGCGGTGTGATTTGAGCCCATTCGAAATGAATGGGCTCAAGTTACGCCGCACTGAATCGCATGTGAATTGGACAGGAATGCGGTGCGATTCTTGGGTTTGCAAAGGCAAAGTGGATAATCAGACAGAGAGTATCTGTAACTTTCAGTACACTAAACAGGTGCAATGTTAGAATCAATAAGGCAATCAAGTCTGGAACAGGGGCGGACTGACCATTTGGAAACTCGGGCAACTGCCAAAGGGCCCGGGGTCAGTAGGGGGCCCCATGAGATGCCCCTGGTACCTTTTTCATAGGCTTTTTTGGGTTTGGGCAAGGACACAGGGGCCCATGATCCCCTATTGCCCGGGGGCCCCATGAGTTGTCAGTCCGCCCTGGTCTGGAACAGAAAAAGAAATACAAGCATAGTGCAAAATAATACAAAACAACAGATTATGAAAGCTGCACAAACATGGACTCTTCACAGCAGTGTGTCTCTGGGACTCAATACGGGGAACGTGACTGCATTAGCATAGTCCCTAAATATCTTTATTAACAACAGAGAGCTGAAAATCTCTTCTTTAGCAAAAACATTTGAGAACATAAATTGTGAAAAGTATGTAGTGAGCGCAAAAAGAAAAACACAAGCAGCTAGCACAGAAAGGACAAACCCAACTTCATCCACAAAAATCATATAAAAAAAAAGGTGCAGCGCTAAGGTGTATACCATAAATGACAAAAACAACTAGTAAAGCACTGGAATAATTATATCATGAAGACTGATGACATGCGTGATAAAAATTCATATTATAGGTGTGCGTTTATAAATAGTAAAAAGTCCCAAAAATTAATAAATTTGAGAACATTAAACAGCTGCGGGTCCTCATAATCAGCAGCCCTTGCAGTGAAGTCCTGGGTAGCTCTAGTAACGCACATCTAAACAACAAATAACCCATGCTACTCATACACAAAACAATCTGTGACCGATTTATTGTGCAAAAACTATTGTGCAAAAAAAAATATAGTGCAAAAAATGCTGCTGCTCAAATTGAAATACACTAATACGAAAATAATTCATACATAATTCATAAACACAGCATATTACAAAATAAAGGGCAGAAATCTTGTGCTTCAATAACAGTGACACATGCTCTTGAAAAAAAAACAAAAAAATCCAATGCCGATGTGCCATGCAAAGGGAAGCAAAAGGGACGCTATTGTCATGCCATTTATTATCGAAGATAAAATATATATTACACTCTCATACCATAAACACACAAATATCCATGTGTAAAATAATGTAGTATCCTCAAGATAGCCTCAAAAAAAGATGATGCAGTATCCTACAATGTTTCCGGAGCGCCGCCACACTCACCACACGAACGTGACGTCACTCTAAACGACCGGAAACTGGAAATCCTTTGTTCATGAATACATTCATTTGTGAAATTAAAGATGTAAAAACGTGAGCGCTCTAAAAACAGCAGCTAACGCACCAAAGGTAACCACAATATAAAACCTTCATCAATCAAATAAATAAAGTGCAGCGCTAAAATGACGATAATAAATGAAAATATGCAAATAATCTCAATGTGACAGTCCGTGCAGGTCTAGGTGGAGGTAGTAACAATCAAGATCCAGTGTCGGTGCTCCAAAAGGGATATGATAAGAGTGCGCACTCACCAGATGCGCAATGTTAATGCGCATTAAAGTAGTAATTGGTCCCCTCTAGGTAATGGATGTGGTCCTGGACAGGGGAAAAATCCTCCCTCTGCAAGTAGGTGGTGCTGTAGGGAGCTCTCAGAAGGAGATGAAACCAGGCAGACGGAGGGCCCCTTAAGGGGTGGGATGGATGTGGAAGCCTATATACCAGGATCTCCTCTCTGGATAATTATGCAGCACTGGATCCGAGTGGCTCTAGAAATTAGTTGTCCATAGGAAGCCAAAGAATAGTGCCCATAGTGTAGTATTTCAATTGTTGTATAAATTTATTAAAGCATATATAGAAAAAACAACAGGATAAGGGCAAGTAAAAACAGCAATGTGAAATGGACTGACCGTAAAGATACCAAGATGGCCGCGAGGCCTCCACATGGCTCCAGGCGGCGTGACGTGACTACGATGCACAAAAAAAAACACTGGCTCTAGCCTCAAAAAAGATGATGCAGTATCCTACAATGTTTCCGGAGCGCCGCCACGCTCCACTCACTGAACGTGACGTCACTCCAAACGACCGGAAACTGGAAATCCTTTGTCAAGAATACATTTATTTTGTGAAGCAAAGCTTGTACATAGTGTATAGAAATAGAAATACAACAGTTTAAAAATATTATCAACTTAAAAAGTAAATTAAAAATGTGACCCAAACCTTTATATGCTTTCCCAATAAAAATTAAAAGTACTTTCCAAATATAATGGAACATTTTGAGAATAACATGTACAGTACTTACCTACAGTACCGCTGTCCAGTGATCTTCACTGTATGGCCACCCTTGGTTATGTGCAGCCTCTGGCTGAAAGCTTTGGAAATCCTATGACCATTCATTTGTGCATGAGATCTACGAATTCTGTTTGTTTAGGTTTTCAGCCACTTGAGAATATAAATAAATGTAAAAATGATGATTATTAACAATATAATAATAATATTTTTATATAATACTTTTTAGTTCCCCAAATCATTATAGTTTTTCATTAAAATTAAATTCTAATATAAATTGACATTGACAATGTATTCCTGGAAACTTAGAGGAGGGATTGCTTCCCAAACCCAAGGACTTATTGCAAGCAGCCCAAATTGCTCAACTTGCACACAGGGGCGGACTGACCATTTGATCACTAGGGCACTGCCCGAGGGCCCGGGGTCAGTAGGGGGCCCCATGAAATGCCCCTGGAAACCTTTTATAGGCTTTTTTGGGTGTGCTTTGAGTGTGGGCCAGGACACAGGGGCCCCATGATCCCCTTTTGCCTGGGGGCCCCATGAGTTGTCAGTCCGCCCATGCTTGCAACTTAATACTTTACCCGGCAATGGGTTTCCCTCTCCTGCTGTCCTGCGGCCATTGGGTCATTACCATGGCTTCCTAATAGGCTACGCCCTTCTATTGTATACCCTACATTGTCACATTCATTAGCTGTCTGGGATAGAGTATGTCATCGGGTTCCCCTGTCTTCCCCCCACACACCACTGTCTCCTATCTTTTGCAATCCTGAGTTTCCCCTGGGGTTAACACCCACTCAATTTAAATGGTGGATTAATAAGGGATTATGGAGAATTGGCGATTATCTGGATGGAGACCGATTATATTCCTTAACATATTTTCGGGACAGGGGCGGACTGACCATTCGAGCACTCGGGCACTGCTCGAGAGCCTGGGGTCAGAAGGGGGCCCCATAAAATGCCCCGGTACCTTTTATAGGCTTTTTCAGGTGTGTGTTTGAGTGTGGGCAAGGACACCGGGGCCCCATGATCCCCAATTGCCCGGGGGCCCCATGAGTTGTCAGTCCGCTCCTGTTTCGGGATCATTTACAGATGCCACTCGGAAAACTTTTCAGGTACAATCAAATTACTTCATTCATTAGATCAAAAATTAAATGACTAACTAACACCATCAGTGTTCCTCTTGCTTGCCTTTGGTACACATCTGATGTAAAATGGAATACAACTGAACCTTTCTTATTACAACTATGGATCCGGCACTCTATATAATGGAATCCTGGAAACATCTGTGAGCACATCCCTCCAGAGAAAAGCGCTTTTTGACTCTTGCACCCCGGTCACATCGGGTGTGATTTGGCATGCGACTTGCAAATCGTATGCCAACTCGCACCCTATTGTCCACTATTAGAGCGGTGACATCGGTGCAGTTCTGACTTGGTCAGAGCCGCACCATTTCTAAAGTAGTACATGCACTACTTTTGTTGCGATTTGCATAGACATCTGTGTCAGATGTCTTGCAAATCGCAACTGAAATTGGCAGGTCACCCGATTTTGAAATTGTGCGACTTACAGTCAAAATCGACTTTGATGTGACGGGGGGTCTTAAGCCAGGAGTCCACCTTATCTGGTGGGTGAGGAGTGCACATGGGAGGGAGCACCGAGCACAACGTGATTGGAAATTGTTTGACCCCTGGTTCACATACAGTTGCAAGAAAAAGTATGTGAACCCCCTTGGGATTACGTGGAGTTTTGCATGAATTGGGCATAAAATGTGCTCTGAACGTCATCTAAGTCACAAACAATAGAAGAACACAGTCTGCTGAACATAATACAACACAAACATTAGATGTTGCCATGGTTTAATTGCACATAACATGTAAACATTCACAGTGCAGGGAGGAAAAAGTATGTGAGGCCCTAGCTTAATGACTTCTCTCAGAGCTAATTGGAGCCAGGAGTGAGCCAACCTTGACTCCAATCAGTGTGATGATATTGGATATGTTGCTGACAGCTGTCCTGCCCTTAAAAAACACACACCTGTTTTGGGTTTACTGGTTTCAAGAAGCACTGTCTGATGTGAACCATGCCTCGCAGAAAAGAGCTCTCAGAAGACCTACGATCAAGAATTGTTGACTTGCATGAAGCTGGAAAGGGTTACAAAAGTATCTCCAAAAGCCTTGATGTTCATGTGTCCACGATAAGACAGACTGTCTACAAATGGAGAAAGTTTAGCACTGTTGCTACTCTCCCTAGGCTTGGTCGTCCTGTAAAAATGACTGCAAGAGCACAGCGCAGAATGCTGCATGAGGTAAAGAAGAATCCCAGAGTGTCAGCTAAAGACCTACAGAAATCTCTGGCACATGCTAACATTTTTGTGGACACATCTACAATAAGGAAAACATTAAACAAGAATGGAGTACATGGGAGGACACCACGGAGGAAGCCATTGCTGTCCAAAAAGAATATTGCAGCATGTTTGAAGTTTGCAAAAGAGCACCTGGATGTTCCACAGCACTACTGGCAAAATATACTGTGGACAGATGAAAGCAAGATTGAGTTGTTTGGGAAGAACACACAACACTATGTGTGGAGAAAAAAAGGCACAGCACACCAACATCAAAACCTCATCCCCACTGTAAAACATGGCGGAGGGAGCATCATGGTTTGGGGCTGCTTTGCTGCCTCAGGGCCTGGACAGATTGTTGTCATTGATGGGAAAATGAATTCCAGAGTTTATCAAGACATTTTGCAGGAAAACGTACGACCATCTGTCCGCCAACTGAAGCTCCGCAGAGGATGGGTGATGCAACAGGACAATGACCCAAAGCATACAAGTAATTCAACAAAACAATGGCTGAAACAGCACAGAATACGCCTTCTGGAGTGGCCCAGTCAGAGTCCTGACCTCAACCCAATTGAAATGCTGTGGCATGACCTTAAGAGAGCGATTCACACCAGACATCCCAAGAATATTGCTACATTGAAACAGTTTTGTGAAGAGGAGTGGTCCAAAATGACTCCAGATCATTGTGCAGGTCTGATCTGCAACTACAGGAAACGTTTGGTTGAGGTTATTGCTGCCAAAGGAGGGTCAACCAGTTATTAAGTCCAAAGGTTCACATACTTTTTCCTCCCTGCACTGTGAATGTTTACATGTTATGTGCAATTAAACCATGGCAACATCTAATGTTTGTGTAGTATTATGTTCAGCAGACTGTGTTCTTCTATTGTTGTGACTTAGATTACGTTCAGAGCACATTTTATGCCCAATTCATGCAAAACTCCACGTAATCCCAAGGGGTTCACATACTTTTTCTTGCAACTGTATGTGCGTTCCTGGGGGCCACGTTTTGCGCAGACACGAGAGCCCATTCATTTGAATGGACTCCCGTGCCCGTGACACGCAGGGAAAGAAGTCACTGCACTTCTTTGGAAACCGCAGCCCACACGGGAACCTCGGTTCCTAGTATGGTTGCGATTTACAGTGCGGGCGGCATGCCATTACAACTAATGGCACCCGCTCGCGGGTCCGCATTCCTCTGTGCGGGTGGAGCGGCTGCACGGATTTTCGTGCAGATCCTCAGCGGCACCACCCGCAGAGATGTGAACCTAGCCTTATAGTGAGGCACATCGCCTTGGATTTTTCAGAGCATGTGACACTGTTATTGAAGCACAAGATTTCTGCACTTTATTTTGTAATTCGCTGTGTTTATTAATTATTTTTTTTTATCTCTGGTAACACAGGTGAAAAGCTGAAGGGATCCAAGTCCAAGGACACAGGAGGGCGACCCACTGGAACTGCATTACTCTGATAACAATCTGTCATGACCGTCCCATATTAGTTGGGTCTTTTGGATAAGCTGCATTAGGCTCCTGCCAAGCTGTCCACATGCTGGTTCTGATAGTGGAGAACCTCTCACCTGGCTGCAGATCACAGGTTCAGATACTTCTGCCTCATCAGATACGGCCTCTCTGAGCTGCTGAGGAAGGGCAGGCGTAAAACTTTAGCAGCTGGTATTTGATGCATTCCAGTGCAATTTTTATGCGTTCCAGATGCTTTTTTCCCCTTCTTTTTTGGGTCATCTGGGGTCCAGTGTGTTTTTTATGTGTTCTGATGCATTTTTGATGAATTCCAGTGTGTTCCGGTGAGTTTTACAGCGTTCCAGTACAGTTCTGCTCAGGAAAAATGCAGCATGTTCTACTTTTTTTCTGGAAACGGAACACCCTGGAACTGCAAGCGCTGGTGTGAACCATGCCATTGACAACTATGTAACCTACTTTCTGTGTTAGATGCAGAATAAAAACACACTGGAGTGCATGTAAGGGCCGGTTCACACTATAGAAATGCAGTCCAGATGCGTTACAGATGCGTTTTTGCATGCACGTTTTTACTCGTTTTTGGTGCATTCCAGTGCATTTTTATGCGTTCCAGTGCGTTTTTATGCATATTTATGCATTCTTCTTTAATTCAAATAGGGACATGTGTGCTCCAGCGTGTTTTTGGTGCGTTCCAGTGCGTTTATGATGTGTTTTACCACGCTCCAGTACAGGGGCGGACTGACAACTCATGGGGCCCCCGGGCAATAGGGATCATGGGGCCCCTGTGTCCTTGCCCAAACGCAAAAAAGCCTATGAAAAAGTTACCAGGGGCATCTCATGGGGCCCCCTACAGTGCCCGAGCTTCCAAATGATCAGTCCGCCCCTGCTCCAGTACAGTTCTGTGCAGGAAAAATGCAGCCTGTTCTACCTTTTTTTTCTGCAACTGAAACTGCAAGTACAGATGTGAACTATGACACTGACAACCATATAACCTACTTTCTGTGCGTATTGGATGCAGAAAAAAAGCAACTGAAACGTATGTAGTGTGAACTGGCCCTAAAAGTTTTTTTGTGCCTGGAGGTCAACTTTAAAATCCAGCTCTGGCCCCAAAGTTTCTTTTTATATTTCTAAACAAAGTGGGAAGGGCTAAAATCTTTGCCAGGCTTTTACTATCCATTTGGGATATTTCCCCTCACTTCCCGTCTTTTAACTCCTTCCCGCCCGGCCTATTGTAATATGACAGCAGAGCACAGGGGCGGACTGACCATTTGGAAACTCGGGCACTGCCCGAGGGCCCAGGGTCAGCAGGGGGCCCCATGAGATGCCCCTGGTACCTTTCATAGGCTTTTTTGGGTGTGGTTTGAGTGTGGGCAAGGACACAAGGGCCCCATGATCGCCTATTGCCCGGGGGCCCCATGAGTTGTCAGTCCGCCCCTGGCCGAACCCTATTATCCTGGGAGGATGTTATGTGATGTCCTCCCAGGATCACACCTTGCGTATGCCCCACAGGCAGTGCTCCAGCGCGATCTGTCACTGGTCGTGTCCACCAATCTGATTTTTACATACTCCTTTCAAGTGCTACCCATTGTGTTCATCAGGACTGCCAGTTCTTGAGTGGAGTACTGAGGCCAGGTACTGTGATGATTTCAGAAAACTGTATAGCACCTTGCTGGCCCTTTCCACCAGCTATAATCTGCCAGCATTAAATATAGAAGCACAGATACCCAGTAATGATGTCACTGGGACTAAAATAAGGTAAGTGATTGTTGTCAGGCTTGCAGTGGTTACAATCATTTTTCCCCAGTTTTAGAAGCGTTGCTCCTTATCTGTCACACAAGGAGGGTTATATGAATTGCTTGCCATCCTGAGCTGCAGTTTCCCATTTTGGGGAAGACTATGAACAGTGCTTGGCCATGGAATGTCTTCAACCCCGAGGGTGGCCATTTTAGGAGAGCCAATATGTATGCTGGATGGATTGTGATTGGCCAAAGGAGGACACAAGAATTGGAAAAGGACTGCTGTGCATCCTGGAAGTGACAAGAGGCTGCTGGGAGAATTGAGACTTATGGGGGATGTAGTTCCCAGGCAGACTGAGTCTGTGAGTCAGATTGGCAATGGAACTCCACATGCCATCATGACTGGGGCTCTCTGGAGCGGAAAAGGAAGAACTGTTCCTGTACTCAAGGCAGATGTGGTGAGGATACTTTGGGAGACAGGCCATGCTGCAGGCTATTTGCAGAACACCACTGTCACTGACTGATGCTGCT